ACTGAATGACAACCAGTGACCTTTTTGAGACATCTGAGCAGCCCTGGGCAGTATGGCTCATTTGGGCATCATTCCATGCACCAGAAAGTCGCCAGTTCGATTCCCAGTCAGGGCACATGCCCAGGTGAGGGGTATGCAGGAAGCAGTCAATTGATGTTACCCTCTCATATTGATGTTTCTCTCCCTCTCAAGATAAAAACTATTAGAAAAAACAACAACCCTAAAAACATTTGAGCATCTTTCTCACTCAGTGCTTCTCCGAGCCCCCATGCCTCTCCCTACATGGCCAACCAGAACCTGCATTGCTTGCTCACTTACTCCACCCACTGCCATGCTGGCCTTCCATTTCCTGGGACTCACCGAGGTCCTTTGCACATCCTACTCACATTGGTTCAACCTAAACTTATCAAACACCATGCCTGGCGCTGGTACCCCCTTCTAGGAGGAGATTTAGTAAACAAATGAACAAGACAATCTTTGACAGAAAATAAAACAAGGTCATGTGATCAAGAATGAGGAGAGGGGCCCAGCCAGTGTGTCTCATTGGTTGAGGGTCGACCTATGAACCGGGAGGTCACTGTTCAACTCCTGGTCAGGGCACACACCCGGGTTGTGGGCTCGATTCCCAGTAGGGGGCATACAGGAGGCGGCCAGTCAATGATTCTCATCATTGGTGTTTCTGTTCCTCTCCCTTCCTCTCTGAAAACAAATATATATATAATCTCGACCAAGGTGCAGGAAGGAATACGGAAATGGAAGTCTGAGGAAGAGGATTTCAAGCAGAGGGAACAGCCCCGAGGTGTGGAAGTTCTTGGTGGCTAAGGAAGAGCGGGAATCCCTGTGGCTGTGCGGTGGGTGGAGGGAGAGTATATTGGGATGGGGCTGGAGAGTGGGCAGAAGGGCCTGGGACCACGGGGAGGGGTGAAGGCTTTAAGCAAGAGAGTGACATCACCCAGTTTTATGCTTTCAAATATCTCGCTGGCAGCTGTGTTCCTCTCATTCACCACTAAATCCCGGGGCCTAGCACGGCTCCTGGCCCATAATGTGTGATAAAACACATGTGTTGGATAAAGGCATGCCCCATACTCCGTGTGTGACCTAGTCATTCTCTCTCTATACCTTGGTTTCCTCACCCGAAAGACGGGTTGATGGGAATTTCACGCCCGAGTGGGTAGGCGGGACTGTATCTAGCTCACCCCCCTCCCCAAGCGGCACCCGAGTCCTCCACCCCTGGGGAGAAGGGGGGTGTCCTCCCTCCCAGGGACCCTGACACCGCGTCGCGGCCCCACCCGCCCTGCACCGCTGGCTGAAGGATGCTGCAGCTCCGGGGGCGG